TGCAAATCAAAGCTAATACAACACAAAGCTCACAGGTATTAAGTTTTTAGAAGAATGGGACTATTTTTGACAACATTTCATTTCTTACATTATAATTTTACAAACAAATAGAGTTTAATCAGGGCATGACATGTTGAAGATAAAACGCTATTCAAGTTAGTTTAGACATTATTAACTTCTAATGAGTAAAGCCACTGAATTCAATATTCCTCACATTAACTTCAAATGCACAGACACAAAGATATCCAAGTGAGTGGTAATAGCGTCCAGTTGATTTTATGACTAATAGACTTTAAAGACAACTCTTAGTGCACCTTCATGACCTCAGCAATCTTCTTCCATTCCTCTGGTGTTGGGTCCGTACCAGTTGGATTGTGCGCACATGCATGCAGCACAAAAATGGAAAATTCTGGAGCATTCTAGTGGTGAAAAGAAAAGGTAACCATTAAATATTAGTAACAAAAACAGAAATTGCTGAAAAAGTTCAGCAGGTCTGACAGGATCTGTGGAGAGAAACCAGTGTTAACACTTCAGGTCGCATGACCCTTCTTCAAATATTAGTGTACTGCATATATAAACAGGAAGATAGGCAGCTAATTCAGGTTTAAAAAAAATCTTGTCAGGTTACTAACTTCTGTGCCAACTACTCAATTCCCTATACCTCTTCACACCCACTCTCCACACAATCACCAGCATTCTAAATAAAAACCAAAAGAACTGCGGATGCTGTAAATCAGGAACAAAAACAAAGTTGCTGGAAAAGCTCAGCAGGTCTGGCAGCATCTGTGGAGAAGAAAACAGAGTTAACGTTTCGGGTCCGGTGACCTTTCCTCAGAACTGATGGTGGCTGGGAAAACGTCAGTTTATATGCAGAAAATAGGGAGGTGGGTGGGGTAGGGAGTCAACGATAAGATAGAGCCCAAAGAGAGAGAAAGACAGTTGGACAGACAGAGGAGTTGCTAACGATCAGGCTGGGAGGGTGAATAGTTGTTAATGGGGATTGTTAGTGACTGACAACAGGGGGTGTGTAGTGGGAGGCTATGTGGTAACAAGGCCTGGTGTGTGGGGTGGGGGGCTGGGACATGGGAGAGTTTAGGCCCTAAAATTATTGAACTCAATATTGAGTCCGGAGGGCTGTAGAGTCCCCAAGCAGAAAATGAGGTGTTGTTCCTCCAGTTTGCGTTGGGCTTCACTGGAACACTGTAGCAAGTCGGAGACAGAGATGTTGGCCAGAGAGCAGGGTGGTGCACCGAAGTGGCAGCAACAGGTAGTTCAGGGTCTTTTTTGCGAGCAGAACGTAGATGTTCTGCGAAGCGGTCGCCAAGTCTACGCTTTGTTTCCCCAGTGTAGAGGAGACAAATATTCCCCTCCCCTCCCTTGTCCGCCTTCCGCAGAGACCGTTCCCTCCGGGACACCCTGGTCCACACTTCCTTCACCCCCAACACCTCCCCACAGCCCTATGGCACCTTACCCTGTAACCAGCGAAGGTGCAACACTTGCCCATTTACCTTCTCCCTCCCCACTATCCAAGGGCCCAAAAATGCCTTCCAGATGAAGCAACACTTCATCTGCACTTCCAAGAATCTAGTCTACTGCATTCGCTGCTCACAACGTGGTCTCCTCTACATTGGGGAAACGAAGCGTAGACTTGGCGACCGCTTCGCAGAACATCTACGTTCTGCTCACAAAAAAGACCCTGAACTACCTGTTGCCTGCCACTTCAATGCACCACCCTGCTCTCTGGCCAACATCTCTGTCTCCGACTTGCTACAGTGTTCCAGTGAAGCCCAACGCAAGCTGGAGGAACAACACCTCATTTTCCGCTTGGGGACCCTACAGCCCTCCGGACTCAATATTGAGTTCAATAATTTTAGAGCCTAAACTCTCCCATGTCCCAGCCCCCCACCCCACACACCAGGCCTTGTTACCACATAGCCTGCCACTACACACCCCCTGTTGTTAGTCACTAACAGTCCCCATTAACAACTATTCACCCTCCCAGTCTGATCGTTAGCAACTCCTCTGTCTGTCCAACTGTCTTTCTCTCTCTTTGGGTTCTATCTTATCGTTGACTCCCTACCCCACCCACCTCCCTATTTTCTGCATATAAACTGACGTTTTCCCAGCCACCATCAGTTCTGAGGAAAGGTCACCGGACCCGAAACGTTAACTCTGTTTTCTCCTCCACAGATGCTGCCAGACCTGCTGAGCTTTTCCAGCAACTTTGTTTTTGCACCAGCATTCTAAACTTTCCTCAGTCAATTCTCTTGACTCTAGGTGCTCAGTCTACAATCTAGGGCCATGTGATCCCCAAACTCAGTAACAGCATCAGAAACATCTGCAGTCTTTGCACGATATTTGAAACCCACTCTCCCTCTGCCCTCACAAATGAGTGTAAAGGATACCACGGAACTTTCTGAAAAGCAGGCAGTTCTCCAAGCCAGTATTTACTTGTTGACAGTAGTAAATATCAAGTTATCAGTTATTTCATTCCTGTATGTGGGAACTTGATCTCTGCAAACCAGCTACTTAGTTTCCTACATTGAAAAGTAAGTACACTTCAAAACTACTTGACAAGCTATTCTGCAAAATTCAGAGGTCATTAAATGTGCTGAATAAAGAAAGGTTCTTTTTATTTCTCATTTGAATTTCAGTGATCTCAAGGTTAGGATGAAACACATTTTATCATTGCTGTTTCATTGATGGATCAATAATTTGAATGCCAAGGTTTAAATTACATTCTGTTTCTTTCAATCTACACACCTATGCAGTTCACAAGGACAAAAGGTTTGTTCAACTCCACTTGAGACTATTTTCCTAGGAATGGATGTAGATCAGGTTGTCATCATTGGTACAGCAGTTGCCAACTGTTCATTGTGGGAAAATACACAATGCTTTTGTGTGATGTGTCATGACAGTATTTTTGTAAGCAAACTATAGCAAAGATTAGTTTATGATATAATGCCAATCCTCAGCTTTCAAGGTTTGTCAACAAAACAGTCCATTGAAATTACACCATTCCAAGCAGATTAGAGTGTGCAATTCCCATTAAGAGCCAGACACTTTCTTATTGCCTGCTATATAGAAATTGAATGTTTTTTTGATTTGCTGCTACCATCTCCTGGTGGGGAGCGGTATTAGACTACAGCTCCACAAGTACCAGATACTATCCAATGTTTTATTCAAGTGCCCAAACTTCACACAAGAGCTTTGATGTTGTACAATCAGCTAAAATATTGCAAAGTAGCACCACGATTCAGCTTAATCCTCTCAATGATTCAGTTCCTGTTCGTTATGTTCTTTTTTATAATAGAACATCCAAATTTATGCACAGTGGTCAACTGTTATCTTACCTAAAATACGAACAGCATATTTGTGGCTCAGGCTACATTCCCCAACCCCAACCTTTTCAGGATATTTCTCAGTACGCATTTTGACACCTGCCTGACCATTTGCCATGGTTCATTTTATAACACCAGCAAACTTTACTAGTGATCTCTAGTATTTCAGCAGCAGTCATTAAAACATTTATTGCACATTATTTCTGACCTGCCTTCAACTTTCAACATTTTTTCCTACCTCCATTTCATCCTACCTATTCTTTCAACTGAATATTTTGGCAGTCCTCTTAAAACGTATAATTCATTTTATGCGATTTGCTAGTTCCTTTTATATCACCTCTGAACTTCTCCTTTCAACTCCCCATTGTTCTTTCTATATTTCTAATTTCCTTGAATGGCTCCTTTTAAGCTTTAGCTTTAGTCTGGCTACTCATCAACAGAATAAGGAGGGATCAAAATTACAGAGTTTATCACAGGAAAGAGTTACCAAGAAGGCACTGCCACCCATGATGGCGAGCACGCCTCAAACAAATCACAAGCAAGGCTTTCATAATAGATTTTGTCACATATCTGGCACTTGAAAGAGCAAAATAGTCAAGTGTTCCACTAAGCATATTTTGGATAATGGCCAGAACTAAAAACACATTTTACAAAATATACCTCCATGTCCTCCAGAAGCCCTTGTAGATGGAGGCCACGCTTGGCTGGGTCCCAGTAACGATAGTTGCGTATGTCAGTGAATCCTGCAGCACCGAACACTCCATTATGGTTTGCTATAACAAAATATTCACAATGTAACTAAACACTGGCATTCAGACTTTAAAGCTGATGCATGTGATGGTAATGAAGAACAATGCCTCTGCAAAGGAGAACAGTGGTGTTGACATGTTATTTGCTTTGGCTTTCCCGGCTCTTGACTCATATGCTTCAATAGTTTTTCACCTCAAGCGAGAAGATGATTACATCTGTAATGAGGCAGAGTTAATTGTTAATTGTTGTAGAAACTCAACTCGTTCACCAATTCAGACTTTAAAGCTGATGGATGTGATGGTAATGAAGAACAATGCCTCTGCAAAGGAGAATAGTGGTGTTGACATGTTATTTGCTTTGGCTTTCCCGGCTCTTGACTCATATGCTTCAATAGTTTTTTGCCTCAAGCGAGAAGATGATTACATCTGTAATGAGGCAGAGTTTAACACATGCTACTTAGTAAAAGTGAAACTGTTCCATGAGTACAGTGACAAATGGATATTCTCTGACAACAGTTCGACAAAGGAAATTTCATCTCCATCACTGCAATAAAGAAGAACTCTTCAGTCAGTAACAACTCTGGGAGTTCTGAATCTTCTAGTCAGACGTGATTTGAAATATGCTCAACAAGCTGAATGCCAATCTTGAACTCCTTGCTGAATGAGATATGCTAGCAGTTATGGTACCCAGAGGTTGTGGTCTCAAAGTCCACTGCAAGCTGATCACGTGTGGTCTGGCACCAAAGTGAGTGACCACAAAACATGTTAATTGTTGTAGAAACTCAACTGGTTCACCAATTAGAAACCTTTCATTCAACCACATATGACTCACTAGTGGCTGCAGTCCCTCAAGACCTGGTTACTCCTTAATGCCCTTTTGGATTTGAAAACAGCAAATCATTGCACACCAGACTTGCAGGGTAAATAGAAAGACATAAACCAAGCCTTGCTAATTCTCCAAGAATTGAGGGTGAAATAACTGTTACTGAAAGGGAGTCCCTGCCACTTTGGGATAAGCATTACAAAATTTGTCTCGAGGAGGCAGAATTAAAAGAAGAATTGCAGAAATATCGGACAGTAAATTAAAGTGTTTAGTTTGCTAATGGATAGAAAGATAAAAACTAACCTACTGCATTGCAAACATAATCATAATTATTGAAGAAAGCTTTACTTTTAGTGTCTCTTGCTGCCATGTTATACTTTGAAACAGATTGAACAAAGCAGGAGAGGAACTAATATTTGCTTAGAATTCTTACCATAGTAACAGGAATCTTTCATAATGCTTGGTATCAAGAGGCAACTCAAGAGATTACACGTAACCCTCACTGATAAAAACCTTTCAATGAGATTATTGTGTGGTCTCAAGAATTCAAAGGATTGAGAGCTTAGAGTTGCTTGAGACCATTAATTTATCATAACCTAATTTATATAATGTGACTCACTGGCTCAATTCAGTATCTACAGAATTTCCCAAGATTTATGTCAGCACCATAATCAACGACAAAGCAAATGGGAACTCAACTCAGAATGGAGTGAATGTGTTTCAATTATAATCCTTCCATTCCCTTTTCACTCTGCTACTGACTCATTTGTTCGGGTTTAGTTCCACATCATTCAGGTGTTCATTAATCGTAGCAAGTGCCAATAGCGAACAGGCATGTAGGGTGTCTCACAGTCAATCCCAACTATATTCTCATTGTATGTCCATACTGTGGGATTCATAAATGATCAAAAGAAGGAATCAAAGCTGAGTTTTCCGTCTAACCTTGAGCCGATCAAATCCAGTGCTCCCACAAGTGAATGTGTTAACCAATTCAAAAAAGAGCAAAAATCAAAAATGGTCTGTTGTTTCAAGAACAATTATCAACTTAATTTCCAGGCCACGATTTATGCCACACTTACACTACCCCTTTGGAGTCATATACAAGTGCAGTAGATATTTCCCCATGGTGCGAAGCCATGTACACCAATTAGCATCTTAATGAAAGCATGATTGAAATTGGGGAAAGCAGGGTAATAAATCAAAGTTAATGATCACACCTGGCCTCTCCAGTGTCTCAGAACTCCAAGGTCTCCCATTCAACCTTGGCTTTCTGATGAATCAATTTCTATTATTTCACAGCTATGAAGACAAATTCAGGTTGCAAAAAGAAAGGATAACAGTCTACGCCCTGAACCTTCAATAAAAAAAATGAAAACTGACTCAGCATCTCACAATAAGTTTGTATAAATACTCCGGATTGTGAATGTACTGTCAAAACCATCTTCTCAACATTCAGCTATTCAAATCTTAACATTAGTCTCTGATTTTGTCAAATGATAGCAAAGTGGGTCAGCACAGTGATCTTTCATTTTTGGAATCATAATTATCATTTTAGAATTTTAATATCTTCTCACGTCTCTGAAATGGGTTTTGGCCAAATCATCCAGTTCCTGATGGGTACAGGCTCTTAACACAAAACTGCGCAAAACCAAGCAATATCCATGTTAGCAAAAGAATAACTTGTATAGGGAAAAGTCACAAGGTAACATCTTGTGATGCACATTTCTGGGTCAGAATTAAGATAATCTTTTTCTGTGCTGTATCTGACACCTGACCACCTGATATTGTGTAAAGAGGAAGTAACAGGGAGTACTTGCCTTGATATGCACAACAAGCTCAAAACAGCAAAGTTTTTGGTTCCTTCAGATAAAATTTTCTTATTCCACCACTGCAAAGTGTTTCTGAGTCACAAATTATTGTGCTGCATTTACAGAGAGCTATTCACAGCAGCTGTAAGCTTTGGCTCAGAATTCGATGTAATGATAACAAAACTGTCAGCATCAGCAACCATTATTGAGGAAAAACCTGACAACAAAATTTAACATCCACGATTAACAATTGAAATTCAAACATTGTTGTCAGTGATACCCAGCTCCTCCATAGACCATACTACTGTAGGCTTCACAGATGTAACTCAATGTACAGGGGTGCATTTCAGTTTCTCTTGCTGTACATATGCTATTGAAGCTACTGTAAATGTTATGCCTTGTTGAATGAGGTGTAATTAAGATTTTCATGGCACTGTAACTCATAATTACTGGGGAACAATACCTCTGGACTGAAAAAACTGAATTCAAAATGATGGAGTGTCATTCTAAGATAAACAACTAACTAACCAATGATTTCAAATATCGAGTTTTTGATATTTCAGTTTATACCTTAATCTTTCATTTCTTTTCCTATAGCGAATTTTACTTCCTACTTTGTTGTCAGATGATCCGTCTGACTGCACCGCTGCTAGGCAACACCAAATTCAAAGTTGTCACGGAATAGGGTAAAGTAATAATCTACAGCCAACTATATTTTTGTGGGCATCTTTGCAAGTGTAGTAAGGGGAGGCAACGGCCTAGTGGTATTACTACTGGACTGTTAATCCAGAGAACCGGGTAATGTTCTGGGGACACACCTTCAAATTCTGCCACAGTAGATGACGGAATTTGAATTCAATAAAAATCTGGAATTGAGAGTCTAGTGATGACCATGAACCCATTGTCAATTGTCAGAAAAGCCCATCTGGTTCACTAATGTCCCTTAGGGAAGGAAACTGCCATCCTTACCTGGTCTAGCTTACAAGTGACTCCAGATCCACAGCAATGTGGGTGACTCTTAACTGCCCTCTGGGCAATTAGGGATGGGGAAATAAATGCTGGCCTAGCCAGCGTTGCCCTCATCCCATGAATAAATAAATAAAAAGTGAAGAATTCCATTCCTTCACCAGTGATGTTAAAAATCCAGTCTAATGCTATGTCATTACATTTGCCTTTTATTTCAACTCTCCAAGACAAATCATGTTCAGCAGAAAGTACTTGATAGGACTGAACTCCTACATTTATTTTAAAAAAGCTGAAACTTCAAAAGGCAAACACATACCCCATGTAGGTGAAGAAACATATAAAGGTGTGGATGTGTTGTTAGGTCCATTGTACCAAAGGCGCAGAAAGTCAGCACCCATTCGAAGAGCACCAGTCCCTCCTAAACACTGCACGCCACCCACCTGTTACAGAAAGATCACAGGTCAACCGCCAGACACAAGTGCAACAATGAAAAAAAAATGTACATGAAAATACTTCATCATGTTGCTGCTTGAAGCAAGAAAGAAGCACTTCTTTAGTTTTATGATTGAAAACACACAAATGGGTCCTTCCCCACTATTAATGCCAGTGTCTATCTGTATTTTCCTCCTGCAAAATATTAAGCTGAGCACAAAGAAACTAATACTCTCAGCTCAACCACAGAATCCTACATTGGTGTAACAGCAGTTTCATGTGCTTCAAATGGGTACAGTAGCACAGGAATTATATTACAGATTAGTAATCCTCAAGATGTGGACTAATGAACTGGAGACAAGTTCAAATCTTACCATAGAAACTAGGAAACTCTTTTCATTGTAAATTAAGGTAATAATGGCAATCATGAAACTACTGGATTGTTGTAAAAAGCCAATGATTCACTGAAGTCCTTTAGGGAAGGCAATTGACCCATACGTGATATCAGACCTACAAAAACAATCTTAGTAAGACACTCAGATATATTCAAAACAGCACATTCTCAAGAGCAATTAGTGTAGACAACAAAAATTGAGTTAGGCAGCAACATGAAATCTCATAAATAGATAAACAACAACTATCTTAGCTTGGCCAGACATACAAAACAAAGATGTAAAGCCAAGCAGGGTCCATCAATTAAAGACGTATTTTAAACTGGGTCAGGTTTAAATGGAACTGCAGGATTGAAATTAATTAAGTTACAACCTTCTGCAACAGGTTATAAAAGTAATGGGTGTTGTTTGACTTTTGGTTTAGTAGCACTCTGCATACCATCAAATACATCAAATGTTAACTTTCTATGCATTTCTATGCCATTTTTTAAAAACATCTTTATCTGACTGGGTATGCATGTTATCTTTTTTTCGAAGAAGTTCAATTTATGTCAAAGTAGTACTGGAGTATGTTTTCATACATTTGCGAATATTAGCAAATTATGGATGTTACTATAAAACACGTTGTTTTAGACAAAGCTTAAAGCACTAAAATGCCAATACGGTCTCAGCTACCTGCTAGTGCTAAAAGATGCTGATCATCAGAATAGAATTTAGGTCTTATTCAATGTTATCTTGCTATGGAACTACCCTTTAATCAGTGCAAATCTATTATCAATGGCATAACAAGTCAGCACCTACAAAAAGAGCAGCAGTCTAACCTAAATAAGGTTCCAGAGGACAGTTAGAAGGAGGACAGGTAGAAAAGAAAGTAAATGAATTAATTTAAACCCTACATTTCCATTCGAACATTCAATCAATTACTGCTGTAATTTTACTGATGGTTTTGTACAGCTCCTTACACTACTTCTGAAATATTTCCATGCACACGCCACTACCCAATTTGTGCATCTAAACTTTCATATTTTCACAAACTGGTAGACTCACCCTATTTTCCGCGATGGCAGGGCTGTCCTTTCCAAGAATTAGTTCACAAGCGAGTTTAGTGAACTCTGGAAAGCCCAGAATGGGCACATATTCATGATTAAGACTGTTATCATTAGCAATCTCCTGTTCCACCTTCCTCACTACAGGCAAGACCCAGGGTTGACCTTCATCAGTACGATAAGCTGCAAGGGGAGCAAAGGCGAGAGTAAATGTACAACTTTATTAGATAGCACAGCTAAAGCATAAATATACAATAACTGTCTTGTGGTTCACGCCCAGAAATTCAAGGCATTTTTAAAATGGAACCTGATTAAAAGGAATGTTTGAAGGTGCAACATAACTACACAAATACCTCAAGAACAATTTCATACTTTTCATTTGAGCTTTGAAAAATTTGAACTTAGCATTTCAGAAGAACTCCACCGCTAACAAAAACTCAAAGTAACACTTGTACAGCAGTATATGGTTATACTGAACAAGCATTAGAATTTATTCACACATCTGTAACTCTCACAAAAAGATTGCATGTCACACCTTTTTCTTGCATGGAATGCAATTATAGCTAAATAAATTATTTGCAAATAATTTAAACACCAGTTGCCTAAATAATTTGATTGATATGGTCTAAGTTATTAATAAACACAGTATAGTAGCATGAAGGTAACTGCATGAGATCATGTAGTTTACACCGAGCCAGTCAGTCCTGCCAGAATTAGCCTTGACTGCAACTCTCACTCATTTACATTGGATTACAGTTTTAAGCATGGTCATTTGGATGATGCAGATCTGCACTGTGAAAATAAAGGAATAATAATCCCCTACCCTCGTTAAAAGTGTAGAATAAGTAATAAATTTTTAACTGTAATATGAATATGATTGCAAATGAAGTATCTATATTCAAACAGATCTTAATACTTCTAAAACAAACGGCCCAGGTAGCTATCAAAAAAAAGGATGGAATATAAGAGATGTCAGAAACTCAGTGCACAGTGACCCAAAGGTGAAGCCAATGACATTTTATCAGCAAAACCAACTGCAGATGAGTACATAAGAATATAAGAACCAGAAGCAGGAATATGCCATCTGGCCCTTCAAGCCCACTCTGACACTCAATAATATCATGGCTAATCTTTTCATGACGTCAGTTCCACTTATCCACCCTCTCACCATAACCCTTAATTCCTTTACTATTCTTCCAAAAAATTATCTATCTTAGCTTTAAAAGCATCCAGTGAGGAAGCCTCAACTACTTCACTGGGCAGAGAATTCCACAGATTCACAACCCTCTGGGTAAAGAAGTTCCTCCTCAATTCATGCCTAAATCTGGTCCCATAAATTTTGAGTTTATAGTCTCTTGTTCTAGTTTCAGCAGCCAGTGGAAACAACCTCCCTGCTTCTATCTTATCAATTCCCTTCATAATTTTACATGTTTCTATAAGATCCCCCCTTATTCTTCTAAATTCCAATTAATATAATCCCGGTCTATTCAGCCTCTCCTCAAAAGCCAATCCTCTCAACTCTGGAATCAACCTAGTGACTGTCCTCTGCACCCCTTCCAGTGCCACTGCATCCTTTCCCAAGTAAAGAGACCAAAACTGCATGCAGTACTCCTGGTGTGGCTCACCAACACCCTATACAGCTGCAACATAACCTACTTGCTTTTAAACTCAATGCCTCCAGCAATGAAGCACAAAATTCCATTTGCCTTTTTAATTATCTGTTGTACCTGCAAACCAACCGTCTGCGACTCATGTACAAGGACACCCAGGTCCCTCTGCACAGCTGCATGCTGCAATATTTTACCGTTCAAGTAATAGTCCCTGTTATTCCTACTAAAATGGATGACTTCACATTTATCAACATTGAATTCCATCTACCAGATCTTTGCCCACTCACTTAAACTATCTATATCCCTCTGCAAACTTCCAGAGTCCTCTGCACACTTTGTTCTACCACTCATCTTAGTGTCATTTCCAAATCTTGGCACACTACACGTGGTCCCCAATTCCAAATCATCTATGTAAATTATAAACAACTGTGGTCCCGGCACTGATCCCTGAGGCACACCACCAGTCACTGTTTGCCAATCAGAAAAGTACTCATTTATCCCCACTCTGCTTCCTGTTAGATGACCAATCCATGTTTCATGCTAACACATTGCCTGTAACGCCGTGCACCTTTATCTTATGCAGCAGCCCTTTGTGCAGCGCCTTGTCAAATGCCTTTTGGAAATCCAGATACACATCTACTGGGTCCCCATCCGTTGCGCTCATAATGTCTTCATAGAATTCCAGCAAATTAGTCAAGCATGACCTGCCTTTCATGAACCAATGCTGCGTCTGCCCAATGGGGCAATTTCTATCTAAGTATCTTGCAATTTCTTCCTTGATGATAGATTCAAGCATTTTCCCCACTACAAAAGTTAAGCTAACCAGCCTATAATTCCCCATCTTTTGTTTACATTCTTTTTCGAACATTGGCTGTTTTTCAATCTGCTGGAACTGCCCTACAGTACAACGAATTTCGGAAAATTAACACAAGTGCATTTGCTATTACTTCCGCCATCTCTGTTAGTACCCTTGGATACATTCCATCAGGGCCAGAAGACTTGTCTACCTTTTGCTCCATTAGCTTGCCCAACACTACCTCTTTCGTGATAATGATCATGTCTAAGTCATCACCTACCTTAGTCACTTTGTCATCAATTACTGGCAAGTTATTTGTGTCCTCCATTATGAAGATCGTTATTAAATCGCCACTCTGATCCTCTAAAGGACCAATGTTTACCTTAGCCAATCTTTTTTGTTTTATATATTTATAGAAACTTTTGCTATCTGTATTTATACTCTGAGCTAATTTAGTCTCATCATCCATCTTACTTTTCTTTATAGTCTTTTATTGCGGCTTTCTGTTAACCTTTAAAGTTTTCCCAATCTTCTAGTTTCCCACTGGTCTTTGCCACTTTGTATGCCTTATCTTTCAATTTGACAGCCTTCCTTATTTCCTTAAATATTGATGGCTGATTACCTCTTTTCCTACAGTCCTTCCTTTTCGCTGATATATACTTTTGCTGAGTACTTTGAAAAAATTGATTTGAAAGTCCTTCACTGTTCCTCAACAGTCCCACCATAGAGTCTTTGCTTCCAGTCTACTTTAGCCAAATCCTATTGGCTAAATCCTATTATAGTCTCCTTTGTTTAAGCACAGGACCCTGGTATTGGATTTTATCTTCTCACTTTCCAACTGCATTCTATACTCAACCATACTGTGATCACTCCTTCCAAGAGGATCCCTAACTATGAGATCATTAATTATTCCTGTCTCATTACACAGGACCAGATCTAGGATAGCTTCCTCCCCTATCAGTTCCATTACATATTGTTCAAGAAAGCTGTCATGGATACATTCAATGAACTCCTCCTCAAGGCTGCCTCAACTGACCCAGTTCGGCCAATTCACATGTAGATTAAAACCCTCCACGATAATTAATTACTGTATGATTTTTACAGGCATTAGTTCTTGCTTAGTTTATTGCCCGATCCAATATGTTGTTATTATTTGGTGGCCTATAGACTACGCCTATTAGTGACTTTTTCTTCTTAGAATTTTTAATTTCTACCCAAATTGATTCAACCTAATTCTCCACAGAACTTTTATCATCTCTCACTACCACCCTGATGTCATCCTTAAACACCACCTCCCTTACCTTCCTGTCTGTCCTTCCAAATAGTCTGATATCCCTGGATATTTAATTCCCAGTCATGACCATTCTGCAACCATGTCTCCGTAATGGCTACTAAATTATACTCATTCATGATATTTTGTGCTGTTAACTCATCTACTTGTTTCGAATGCTACGAGCATTTAGGTAAAGTGCCTTTATGCTAGCTTTTATACATTCTTTTGAATTCTAACATTCTACATTATAAATATCTCCCCAGTTTTCCTTCCTCTTAACTTCCTTCACAGTCCTCGATGTGGTTAAACCCTCCTGCATAAATGTTAACCTGCTGTTTCCTTTTCTATTTACCATTTATATGTCCTGTCATTTTCCCCTTCCCTTCCCCCCATTTCATTAGTTTAAAGTCCTAGTGACCACCTTACTTATCTTTTTTGCTAGAATACTGTTTCCAGATCGGTTCAGGGAGAGACCATCCCCACAGTACAGATTCCTCCTGTTCCAAAACAGATGTTAATGTCCCATGAAATGGAACCCCTCTTTCCCACACCAGTCCTTTAGCCACGTGTTTACTTCCCTAATTTTCTTATCCCTATGCTAATTTGCATGTGGCTCAGGTAGTAAACCAAAGATTATTAACCCTTGAGAACCTGCTCCTTAATTTCGTTCCTAGTGCTTGATAATCCCCAAACAGGTCTTCCTTCCTAGATTGCCTATGTTGTTTCTCCCAACATGGACCAAAACAATTGGATCCTCACCCTCCCGCTCCAATATCCTTTCAAGCCAGTTAGAGATGTCCCTCACCCTGGCACCAGGCAGGCATCACACCATGCAAAGGATGCTATCGATCCCCCTAATTATAGAAGCACAGTTGTGTTTTCCCGCCTGGTATTAAATACCAGGCGGGAAAACACAAAAGCGCTTCATCGGAGGCTGCACTGATGATGTTACCCAGCAGGGTAATGAAATGTCTATGGAACAACAAACCAGCTTGGTGAATTTGAAATACTCAATCTACCAGGTGTGACCACCTCCTGTAACAAAACATCCAGGTACTTCTCCTCCTCCCGGATGTGCTGCAGTGTCTGAAGCTCAGATTCCAGCTCATCAACTCTGAGCTGAAGATCATCCAGCAACCAACACTTGCTGCAGATTTGGTCACCGCAGTTCGCAATGGGATCAACCAGCTCTCAAATCATACAGCTACAGCACATTATCTGTCCAGCCATCTCTACTTTTAATTAAGTTATTAGTTACTTAATCCCAGTTAGTTAATTTATTTATTAGTTCTGGAATATCCTTTCTAAATTTAGGACAGATTTCCCATTAGCCAATCAGGTCACAGCTCTCCTATGACATCACCTTTCCAGTTAGGTTTCAGTTACTCCAGCTGCTCCTCCCTCTGACTCTGCTCCAGGAAACAAGGCCGTGAATCCCTGAGGTAAGTTAGATTTATACTTACCGTGCTCCAGGTGCTCCTCCCTCCGACTCCACTGCCTGCCC